CGGCTCCCTACTCCTCAGGCCTGTGAGGAGGCAACTTCCCTCCTCCAGTCCCTTCCTCTATTGATCTACTTGTGGCCTTAACCTTTTCTGGATCTTCAACTAACTTTGAGAATATATTATGTAATACTGTCCCTGGGAAAAAAATGTGCCTACTTGAGCTCACATACATAATTTAATACACAATTTCTGGGATCTGCAGACCTCTGAAGCCCATTCAAAGAGCCCTCGGGGACCTCTGGTTAAGAACCTCACGGTTCTGGGATTAAGACTTGAGTCAGAAAAAGGCTGTGTGACTTTGAATGGGTTACTTAACTTCTCTGGGCCTCATTTTCCTTACGTATAAAATTGGGGTAATAACAGTAGCTATCTCACAGGGTTGTGAGTAGTATATGAAATAAGTAAAACTCTTAGCCTGAAGCCAGGCACACACGGTAAAGGCTTATGGTGTTTATTGTTATGGTTATTGTTGTTGTTACTGCAGATGGTGGCCCAGGGCAGAATATAAAAACCAAGTGGGCAGTCCTGGTTCAGCCAGGGTGGCAGAAGAACATCTATTGGAGTCTACTTCTATAGCAGAAGAAATCCTCTCTGAATTCAAAAAGGAGAGTCTGAGTAGCAGGTCCCTAGGGGGACAAAAATGATCCCAATTGGTGGACAAGTTAACTCATTTGAAACGATGTCAGAACATTTTATTTATTTATTTATTTATTTACTTATTTATTTATTTACTTATTTGTTTGTTTGTTTATTTTTAGGGAAGCTCTGGCCTGAGGGCCAACGCTGGTGCTTACACAAATAATCTGGAAACAAATGGGGCTACCAAAACAATCTGGATTAAAGCCAATGGAGCCTTTGGGAGTTTACTTGAATTATTCTCCTGTGCTAAGGAATACGTCATTTTGTTTGGGTCTACAGGGTCCCTTTATCCCGGCAATTCATGCAATATGCTTTCTTTCCTCTTTGTCTGGAATATTCACTAAACTAGGAGGGAAGCAGATTTTTGGCAAAATAATACCTTCCCCTTCCACTGGAGATAGAATAAGGCTGGATCCTGGTGGTATGATCAGCAAGCACAAATTCGGGAGTCAGGATATAGTATAGTACAGGCTCTAAAGGCAGGCATTTCTCTGTGGAGCAAACCCAAAGGACAAACTACTTCCATCTCCAGGGGAAATGCCACTGGCTCAGATTATTTGGGGGATGAGGATCCCACAGTGTCTTTCCAACCCAACATGGGACCCCAGGAAGGGAGTTGGACAGAAGGTTAAATCCTGGAGAGCAATGGAAGGGTTCCTTCTCACAACCCCCACCCTTCTGTCCCTGAGTTACTACTCCTTCCAATTTTCACAATCTGCAAAACTCTTCTGAGGGGGGACAGTCAAGGCCCAAGCCTTTTCCCTCCACAGTATACAATCATTTATACTTCATTTCTTCAATTAAAAACTCATTCAACCAATACACAGAGGGTGCTAGGTGCTCGCCTGGCCTGCACAGGTATGGGGTGTATGAAATTCCCAGATCAAGGTCCCTGCCCTCAAGGACCTCCTGGTTTGTCTGGTGGGAGAAGTGAGTCTGACCACAAATACAATACACAGCTCCCTGCTCTGCAGGAAGGGTATGGGCAGCTGGTGGATTTGGGCTCCCAGGAGTTCAGAATATTCCAGCCACCCACACACTAGAGTCTAGAGTGGGGGGAAACTTTAGGGTATGGAAAAAGTTGGTGGTGGGACAGTTGGGCTGGTTTTTGAAAATAGCCTGGATGAGGCAATGCATTCAGGGGACTGTAAACAACAAAATGGGTGGGTGGCCTCCCCCAGGTACCCCTTGAACTCCTAGCTATGCCAGACTGGAGCTGTTTGGCTCTGGAGTTGAACAAATTAGGCAAAAAAAAAAAAAAAAAAAAAAGCCTCGGGATTGAGCCACAGGTACTGGTGGCCAAAATAAGAAGAAGAGGTTTGTGATAGTAGGTGGAAGAGGTAATAAAGCAGGTGATTGTAGAATGTCCTGTTCACTTTGACATGATGTGGTTGATACTAAAGGTCCCAGGAAACAGTGCCTCAGTTGAGAAATTCTATGCTCCCGCCCCTCTGCTTCCTAATTACATTCCTCATCTTCCTGGCAGCCTCATAGTAACATGAAACTTGGCTGTCCCTGGGCAACAGCAGGGGTGTCCTTAAGATACCGTCCTACAAGCCATTATCAGGTGTGAATACAGGAACAGACAGGCAGAATGGGGGAGGAGGAGTATGGAAAGAAGCCCCTCCCAGGATAGGGACCCAAGAGTCCCTGTTCTCTGCTAGAATGGGGATGTGGCTTGCTTTAGGCTTTGGGGTGATGATAGGAAAGGGCTTCAGGTCAGAGGCTGAGACAGGATCCTGAGAGCAGGAAGTGAGAAGAGAGGGCAGACCCCTCTTGATCTCAGAGCTTCCAAGCTGGCAGGTCCAGCTCCCTGGTGTCCTCTCCCTCAGGTCCCTCTCCACCATCTCTGGACTCGGATTCCTTGGTTGCTAGGCCCAGCATCACCTCATGGTTCCCAGAACAGCACTGATGCACTAGAGACAGGCCTGCCTTGGGGATAGTCTGCAGCTCTCTCGGGGAACTGAGAATTCCATTCTCACCATTCCTGCCTCTGAACACCTGTCCTCCCCAAAAAATGTAGGGCAAAGATGGGGAAGAGGCTAAGTAGCTCTTCGCAATGCTTCCAAGAAGGCCAGGTGCAGACACTGGGGTCCCAAACAAGAATCCTTTCTCCCTACACTGTCCCTTTTACTCTGGAGAGCTGCAAGCCATGTTCCAAACAAATACCTAAAAGGGAGATAAAGCAACCAATCCATCTCTGATACACTGAGGACCCTATGCTGGACATATCCAGGGAGAGATCCTGTACCCGGCCCCACAGCCAGCTTGGCTCACTCCCTCTCTGGGGCAGGTATGGGGGGGTGGGTAAGAAATCCAAGAAGTCCTATTTTCCCATTCTAGCCTCTGGACTGGGCCGCAGTCCTCTGCACTGGCCTTTCTGGGCCCTTCTCTCCACCAACCAGTGCTGCCGGGTGGCACTGCCTGCCCAGGAGTTTTACAAACAAAGCCAGGGAAAGAGCTGGAACTGTGTGGGGAAGGAAGCAGTTCTTCATCTCTTGGCTCCAACCCCCTTTACCTCACCTCCTTTCGCCAGGTGCAGAAATGGAAAATTAGGGTGATGGGGCCAGCAGCCTCACACAAACCAGATGAGGGAAGCAAGAGAGAAAAGAGCCTGGGGCACAATCCCCTTGGGTGCCTCAAGGGAATGTAACACATAGGTAAAGGTTCAAACATGCCTATATACCCACAGGTTCACATTTGTTTACACAAATATACACATGGAGGACAACACAAAAATATACACATTCAAAAATATAAACACATTCAAATACTGATGCACACAAATGCTTGCCTGATATACACAGAATGCGGAGTCGTAGAGTTCCCAGACCCTAGTCTGACCCGAACCCCGGACTCTGCGGGTTCCTAAGAGCGCAAGCCCCAGCCACCGCTGGCCCCCCTGGGTCCCCGCCCCGCATCCGGAACAGCTGGAGTCGGCCGGGCGAAGCCGGGCGCTGGACTGGGCGGGGCCCGCAGCGGGGCCACGGCCGGGGCCGGCAGAGCGCAACGGGGAGGCCCGAGCCGGCCCCCGTTAGCCCCGGCACCCGGCCCGACTGCCGGTCGGAAGCCAGTCACCAGGCGGCCTCTAGAGCGTGGGCTCGAGGTAAGAGTACAAGACTGCCTGAGGAGGTAAAGCTCTCCCTTTGGGATGAGGCCAGAGGAGAGGTGCCTAGAGCCACCACCAGCTCCCACCCCGCCTCTCAGCTGGGGAAGGTTGAGTCCCCTAACTAGTCCTCTCTCCCAACCCCTGGGGTTCCCACACTCCTGTGTCCCGGGTCGCCTTATGCAGGGCTGCAGAGCCCGTTTGGACCTCCTGATTCTCTCTTCCCCAGGTGCATGGCCCAAGGCCACGAGTGGGGCAAGAGAGCCTAGGAGTAGGGGCGCTGGGTCCTTGATCACAGCTCGGCAAAGTCAGCGCTGGGCGCTGGCGGGTCCCACCCAAGCTCCTTGTCTTACCTGGACCGCGTGGCAGCCGCGTACCTCCCTGGCTGGGCTCTCGCCGCCCTTCTCGGGCGTCAAATCCCGGGTCAGAGAGCCTGAGACCTCCGGGCCTGCGCTGCCCTCGCAGCCAGGCCGGCGGGAGGCGGGTGCGCCAGGAGCGAGGCTCCTAGTTTGGGGTGGGGGCGGCGGCTTTTCAGTCGTCTGAGGTTCGGGTGCAATAAAGGCACCGCTAATGTAATTTACAAACAGCTCGGGCCGAGCGCGGCGCAGCGCCCGGACTGACAGGCGCATTAGGCAGGCTAATTCCAGCCGGCTCCTCCTACCCCCGGCCCGCTAATTAATGAGCTTCCCAACTTAGAGCCGCCTGCATTGGACAGACTGAGAGTGAAAGAGAGGGCGAGGGAGAGGGAGAGAAGGAGAGAGAAGGGGGGAGCAGAGAAGAGAGAGGGAGGGAGGGAGAGAGAGAACAGGAAGAGAGAGGACAGAGAGAAAGAAGAGAGGAGAAAGACAGGGAGAAAGGAGAAAGAGAAAGAGAGAGACAGAAGTGCCGCTGCAGATAATTGATTACTCCTCGATCAAGGCTAACTTGTTAGCAATAGTCAATTGCCCCATCTCTCCGCCTCCCCTCTCAGTGAGGAATCGGCGCCCTCGCCTCGGCTCTTCCAACTGCCGCCTCCAGGACCAGGGGCCAGGAGTCGCCGCGGAGCCACCTGACACCTTTAAATAGCACCGGGGCTGGCGAAACTGGAGCCCCGCGCTGCGCGCCCCGGCTCGGGCCCCGGATTGCTGGAAGCCCCGGGGGCGGCAGCGCCCGCGTCAGCACCCACCTCCCGGGGCCCCGTGCGGCTCTGCTCGCCTCTGCCGCTACGCTAATCGGCCCCGCGCCCGGCCGGCGCTTGGCTCGCTCCCTGCCAGCGCCCTGACAGGCGCGGCCTCCTTTCCTCCCGCCGCTGCCGCTCTCCCGCGCCGCCCGGTGCCCGAGCTGCCCGCGGGCTGGGTCCCCGCGGCCCAAGCCGCCCCGGCCGGGCCCCCAAACGAGGCCGAGATGACTTCCAAGGAGGACAGCAAGGCGGCGCCGGGGGAGGAGCGGCGGCGCAGCCCGCTGGACCACCTGCCGCCACCCGCCAACTCCAACAAGCCGCTTACGCCGTTCAGCATCGAGGACATCCTCAATAAGCCGTCTGTGCGGAGAAGTTACTCGCTGTGCGGGGCGGCGCACCTGCTGGCGGCCGCTGATAAGCACGCGCCGGGCGGCTTGCCCCTGGCGGGCCGCGCGCTGCTCTCGCAAACCTCGCCGCTGTGCGCACTGGAGGAGCTCGCCAGCAAGACCTTTAAGGGGCTGGAGGTCAGCGTCCTGCAGGCAGCCGAAGGTAGGTGCTGCCACTGGATTTCCCTGCGCCCAGCACCCAGAGCCCTGTTTCCCGTACCCAACGCGCTTGGTGCCCTGTGCCTCTGCCCGCCTCCTCCCGCGCCGGCCGGCCGGGCCCTCCAGCCCAAACCGCAGCTGCTAGAAGTGGAGATGGGTGGGACAAGACCCAAACCCTATTTCCAAGGATCTCTGGATAGGCCAGAGTGGCTGGGAAGGGATGGCGGGAACACAAGATCTCTCTAGAGTCGGCCTGCTTCGCCTGACTCCCTCCTTTTCCCAGTGGCCTGGGCACTCTTAGCTCTGTTCCTGGGATGAGGAATGGAGAGCCTTTATCTGGGAACTTTTGAGTAAGGGTAGAGTTGGGGTAATTAGGAAAAGGTGGAGTACCAACATTCATACCGAAGTCAGGACTTCCCAGTCTGGCTCCCTCCTGCTCTAGCAACCTTGGGTCTTTCAAACCAACTCTTGTGCGGTGGGGGGCGGGGGACGAAAACAAAACAATTTTTCCTAGGGACTTCCGGTAGAAGAGAGACTGGGGAATGGGGTTTGCCCCTGCCGAGGCTTGCAATAGTCCGGTAAGCCTAATCAAAACCGAGAGGGGAACAGTGGCAAACCGCAGGCCGGATGAGCCTGGGCAAGGTGAGCCAGAGACGGGGTGGGTTTTCTTCTCCCCTGGCGCAAGCCTATACTATGGTTTCCTCACAGGCCGAGACGGGATGACCATCTTTGGGCAACGGCAGACCCCCAAGAAGCGGCGAAAGTCGCGCACGGCCTTCACCAACCACCAGATCTACGAGTTGGAGAAGCGCTTCCTCTATCAGAAGTACCTGTCCCCTGCCGATCGCGACCAAATCGCGCAGCAGCTGGGCCTCACCAACGCTCAGGTCATCACCTGGTTTCAGAATCGGCGCGCCAAGCTCAAGCGGGACCTGGAGGAGATGAAGGCCGACGTGGAGTCCGCCAAGAAACTGGGCCCCAGCGGGCAGATGGACATCGTGGCGCTGGCCGAACTGGAGCAGAACTCGGAGGCTGCAGGCGGTGGTGGCGGCGGCTGTGGCAGGGCCAAGTCGAGGCCTGGCTCTCCGACACTCCCTCCAGGCGTTCCGCAGGCCCCAGGCGCCGGGCCCCTGCAGCTCTCGCCCGCTTCCCCGCTCACGGACCAGCCAGCCAGCAGCCAGGACTGCTCGGAGGACGAGGAAGACGAGGAGATCGACGTGGACGATTGAGTGGAGCCCAGAATCTTCCGCCGCCCCGGGCCCCTGGAGCCCGTAGGCCTGCAGCCTACCGGACCGGACCGCTGAGGGGAGCTGGGACCTCCTCTGCAACTCCCGCGTTCTCCCCTCTCCCAGGCCCGGACTCGGCTTCCAGCAGCCGCCTCTTCCCTCTCGAAGCAATAAACCCGGCTGGCCGGCGGGGCCGGCCACTGCGCACGGCCTCCGCCGCCTCCGGAGCCCTCGCCGTGCAATTCTGTATGGCTTCTGTATAAATATTTAAACCTATATAGCGGGTTCTTCCCACCGCAGCCTGACTTTTTTGTTTCTTTGTTTTTTTATTTTTTTAAATCTCGGAGATTTTAATGTTTTCAAAGCTCTCAGGCTGCCGGGTTTGCTGAGGTTGAGGCAGAACCGAGGGTAATGGACACTGAACCCCGCGGTCTGGAGGAGGGAGCCGCCCCGACTGTTTTGATTTTTCTCTGCATGTGGCGAATGCACCGGCTCTCTCCCTCCTCGCCTCCCTAGGCCTATTGCAGTTGACTTCTGTTATTTCCTTCTGCATTTTTCCCGCGTGGGAAGGGACTGAGGTGGGCAGCTGGGTCCTGACTTGCAAGTTTCAAATTGATCTTTTCCTGCCCCCGCGAGAGAAATCTGTTTTTGATGCCATTTCTGCCTCCCAATGTCCACTAACGCTATTTTTAAGATTTCTCCCCACCCTCTCTCGGTTTCCTCGGACTGACTGCTGGGGTTCGGGTCTTAGGGACAAAACGGGAAAATCCAACCAACCAAGCAACCAACGAAAAAGGAACCCAAAGCCCTAGAATTATTTTTTACTCTTTTTAGACTTTTTTTGCATGTGACAGAGACTGAGAGGAGGCCAACAACCTAAGCCCTCACCCCACCTCCTCCACAGCTCCGGGTCTGTCTTGCAGTCTCCAATGCCCTGCTCCTAGCTCGACTTGGCCAGACAAGGGTGGTCAGATGAGGGTGCGTCCCACGTGCCCCTTTCCTGCTCCTGCCCTGCCTTTTCCTCCCCAGACTGTACCCAAGGCCTCTTTCTCCGATAAATAAAGTCTTTGCCATTTTACTAGAAGCGATGGTGACCGAGTCTAAATGAATGGGCCCTATTCAGGGAAGCCGTGGCAGGCTCAGTATCTCGCTTATATGCTCATTGCCGGCTGCCCCGGCCTTGGAGATTTGGAGGAGTTTCAGAGCAGGCGTGAGAATGAGGGGTGAGTGGGAAGTAGTGGGAGGAGGCATTTCTTGCCGGCAAACAACCGTGGCAGGCTCCAAATGGGGTGGGGTGGGGAAAGTAAGACCCGCGGGCTTCGTCAGGTCGGGGTAAAAACTGGGGCGTGCAATGCTGGGCGCAAATGCGTGTGTACGTTGGGGGTACCATGGATATGAAGTTAATTTGTGTGAGGCAAAGGGTGGAGGGGGACTTGCCCTGCGGTTCATGCATTTCACCCAGGACCCAAGGGCATCCTTCCTGCGCTCCCTGGGGCCCGGCTGAACCTCAGCCGGACAGGTATAGCTACAGGCAGGTATGGCTCAGCCGGAGAGCAGGGTGGAGCCTGAGGGCTCCAGAGTTTCGGTTCTGCCGGTTCTGCCGGAGGGCCTCACCGTTGGAGAGAGGGAAAAATGAGGCCAAAGGCACCTAGGGAAGACTGAATTGCGCACACAGGCACAGGGAGATGTGAGCCCAAAGCGCCTGAGAATTGAGGTGAATTTTTGGTGACATTTCACAAATTCTGGGCACTGAACTCGGCTGAGGGCAGAGACATTAATCTCCCAATGACTCTCTGGGGTCCCCGCGCCCCAGAGAGACTGGGGCAAAGATGTAGGCAGCTTTCACTTTTCCGGAGCGAGCGAGTTTCTCTCTGGGCTTTTGTTGTCGCTGGGCTGGCGAGTGGCCGCTATCACCAGAAGAGGGTCCCGCCTCCAGGCCGCTCAGCTCCCTTTCTCCGCAAAATTGATGTGAGAAATGCGCATCTGGTCTCGGGCAGGCGATGGGGCCCCGGGGCCTGAGTCGAGTCGGGAACGTGCGTGTCCGGAAGGAAACTAGGAGACATTGAAACAGAAAAAGAAGGAGCACAGAAAGACACTCCAAAAGCAAATCGAGAAAGTGGAAAGCCACAGTGGAGAGAAAGAGAAAGAGGGAGGAGGGAGGGAGGGAGGGAGAGAGAGAGAGAGAGAGAGAGAGAGAGAGAGAGAGAGAGAGAGAATGAATAGGAAAGAGAGGAGAAAGAGAAGGCATAGGAGAGAACGAAAGAAGGAAAGAAACGGCCAGGCATCCGAGCCGGCGTATAACCGGCCGTTTCTCCTGGGCGGCATAAATCGCCCTCTCTCAGGATGGATGGGTCTGTAATTCGGAGCGCGGACCATGAAGGCCGGGACGAATGGACCCGGGCGGCCGCTGACAGGCGACAATAGCCGGGCCCAGCCCCCCGCGGCTCCAAGTGCGGGCGCGGCCTCGGCCCTCCGCAGCCCAGAGCGCGCCGGCGCTGGCGACCATATGGTTTTTGAATTTTCTTCACAATTTGTAGACAATTTGATGGATTATGTCCCCGCGCGCGTCTCCCCGGCACAAAGGCGGCGCAGGGACCGCAGCGCGGCGGTCACCCGGGCATCTGCGCCCGCCGTGCGCCCCCACCCCCGCCAGGCCCCCGCTCCGCGCTGGGAGCCTCAGGCCGGCCGCCCAACACGCCCATGAATCCCAATGAAGCGGCCCTGGCACCTCCGGCTACTTCCCGCTTCGCAGCCCGGGGCCGGGCCCTACTGGATCCCTTGGAGCTGGGGGCGGCGGCCCCAGGGCTGAGCCCACCCGAGCTGCGGCGCCCGCGGGGCGCGCAGCTAAGCAGGCGCAACGGGGCTGAGGAGAAACGGGGCCATTTATCCGCCCGTCTAGTTAAAGCGGGTTATTTGTTTGCTTCTCCGGCCTCCCCCTCCCCTCCCCTCTCCTCCCCTTTCCCTCCTCCCCCTCCTTCCCCTTCTGCCTTTTATTCTTTTGTCTCTAAATGGATTTAATGAGCCTGAAAAACATGACAATTGAATATAACCAAGAAATAAAAAATAACGAGGGAGGATGGAAGGAGGTAAAGAAGGAAAAAGGAAGAGGAAGGATTAATAAAATATAGAGAAAGATTCATTCAATTCAGCAAATGTTTATTGTGTGTCTTTTTGGCGCCAGGACGCGCTGAGGACTAGGGAAATGGAAACGAATCCGATCAAGTTCCTGCCCTCAAGAAGCTCCTAGTCTAGCAGTAGACGAGATCTGCTGCACCTCTGGCAATAATAGGAGACCTGGGCCAAGGGGCAGAGAGAGTGCATTTGCAGAACTCGAAGGAACGGCTTCGGGCTCTGGGTAGTGGGGTCTTCACGGAGGAGGTGGCTTTGGACCCAGGCCTTGAAAGATAAGAAAGAATTCGTTGTTTCTATAGGACAGAAAGAAGGGACGGCGAAGGAAGGACCGGAACGTCGTCGGAGGGAAGGGGAGAGAGGCGCACGCTGGAGCTCTGGGCTGAGCCCGAACTGGAGCTCAAGGCCCGAGGAACGTGTGTCGCGTGCTCGGTCCCACACAATTTGGGGAGTGGATTCGACTCATCCCGCAGTTTCCTCGGCTCTGCTCAATTCCGCAACGCTGCCAGATTGCCAGTAGGCTTCCGGAGTCCCTCTGAGAGCCCAAGAGCCGTTTTGGCCCGACTATGCCCCACAGAGCACTGCTGCTTGGGGCTGGTTTTCTGGCCCCATCGCGCAAGCAAGCGGCGGCGACGCAGGCCAGGCCTCAGTGTTTAACTGTAGGCAAGAGCTTGGGGTGGTGTGTGTGTGTGTGGGGGGGGGCTCGGGGAGCGGCGGGGGGGGGGGCGAGGGCGGGGGCGACCGGTTTCCATCCAAAGCAATTCCGGCTCGGATAGGAGCTACTCCCCGCGCGCGGGCCAGGGCGCTCAGTTGTCTTTGGCCGAGCCTCGGGCGTTACCGAAGAGACCTGTGATGTTAGAGGGCCTTGAATGCAAGCGCTGGCCTTGGACCTCTGAGCGGGTGCCTGCCGGGCCTGTCCTAGGTGCGGCTGTGTGTGGTGTGTGCAACGCCTGTGTGCGCTCCGTGGGAGCGGGGAGTGTGTATTATTCTCTGAGTGAGTGTGGCGTGGATCCTATGAGGGGCTGCGGGCCCTGCACCCTTTCTCGGGCGAGATTCGTTAGGGTTTAGGACCCAATGGGCCACATGACCTGTGCCCAGAGTCATTGCACCGCCTGGGGCCGTAGCAGGCAAAGGAACCCAGAACTCTGGTTTCTCTGTCGACTCGCTTTCGGTTCCCAGCAGCCCAGGTGAACCGGCCCGGCTTTGTCTCTTCCTTTCCCGTTGGGTCCAGGGCCTGGGCCCAGTTCGCCAAGTCCCCGAATGAAAGAGGTTTCTGATGTCCTGGCCTGGGACCCCGGAGCAGCGCGCCGACTGGCCGGCCGCACCGCGCATTCTGGCTGGCTCGTTTCCCCGCTCCTCCTTCCCCGACCCGGGGGCTGGCGGGCGCGCCGGGTGAGGCCGGGAGGCTCAGTTCCTTATTTTACGAGGTGTCGGGCCGGTGTCAGACGCAGCTCCGATAAGTAATACTCCAGTCTGAGGGACCAGAACGTGGTAATTAATCCCAAAGACTTAAGTGTATTTTAGTTCAGGAGAAAAAAAATCACTAATTCAATCGTCCGGAAAATTGAAGTTTGATGCATGAGTCCCCCCTGAAAGGGACAGGCTGGGGCCAAGGCGCCTCCCCTCCGCCCCTGCCGCTTGCCGCGGGGACCCTCCTCCTCCCCACCCTTCTAAGCCTTCAGGTACAGGGAAGCCCACTCACCCCGCCCTGCATGTCCCCAGCCACTCAAATCAGAGGCATGTTGGTTTTGCTCCTTACCCCAATAGATAACCCCTCTTTCTTGGAGCCCCCAAAGTGGTTTGTGCTGATAATACAGATGTTCCCCTAATATGCACACCTGCGAAGGGGCATAAGAGAATGCGGGAGGTGTAAGGGGAGTGACTAGATAAGAGGCCCAGAGTGCACAGGGTCAGGAGCTGCAAAAAGGCATATGGGAGAAAGGACTTCAAATCGGAATGAACTGGGGTCATGGGGGCAGCAGGTAGGAGGTTGCTATTGTATAGTGGAGACATTCCTGTGCTGGCTTTAAGGTGGTGTGAGTGGGATTAGAACTGTGGGTATGCTGGTAGTGGTTCGTGTGTAGAATGGTGGATGGATGGATTGTGTGGGAAATGGGTGCATCTCTAGATGATGCATATGCAGGAATGGAAGTCTCTGGCCAAGG